ACCTCTTTATAAGGGAGGCTCCTTCCCCACTTATATGAGCATGAGAACAAGAGAGACATCCACGCGCGCTCCTCCTCCGCCGCCCGCCTCGCCACGCCACGCCACGCCTCATCACGACACGTAGCGGGTTGCGGGAATGAGCCGAGCTGATGTCTAAATTTTTGCCACACACTACGGGTATACGAAAGGTCACACGGAAGCTGAAAAGTTTTTGCGATAGTGGAGTTTGAATGCGAATGGTACAGCCCTTCGGTTGCTGGCTGTTTGCTTCGTCTTCGTCTCTTTGTTTCACCATCAGTCGCTGCCCTCTCGCCTCCTTCTCTTGCGCCTATAAAAGGAAGGTCGCTCCTCTCAGAGAGACGCACGAGAACTACATCCTCCTCTCGCCACCGGTTCCTGAGCACTGTGCTGCTGCTTCGATCATCTCCATCCCGGCTTGCGGCGTGCACCGCAGGTCGGGACAGTAGGCCTCCGAAACCGCACCTCTTTGAGTCTTGTACGGGAGAAGGGTGATAAGGTTTTTGGGGAGTGCTCTGCGCGACTACTGACTCCTTCATCACGGACGCCCCGGATTCCGACGACTACTTCCCCGACGATGACTACTTCCCTGACGTCGACAACCTCCTCGATGACATGGAGGACACCGACCCCAAGTCCAGTGCCTCTGCTCCGGCTGTTGTCTCGTACGTGTTCTTGCTTTTCCTGTTAGAGGTCCTGTCACAGTTGCTTCTTCTAGTGTTTTCCCTACACATGTTAGGATCTACCTCATATATGCATCTTGATCTACTGTCTGCTCTAGAGATGATCGGTTCTACCTCATATATGCAGATATTATTTACCTTTTCTTTGTAAAATCGCATGACTTGTTTTATCACTGCTATACTAGTCATGCTTCATCTAGTATTTCTGTTAATAAAATCATTCGGTATCCAACAATCCAAAAACCTTATTATAGGCAATTTACCCCAAGTGGTTTTGCTGCTTCCATGAAACCTCCTATGTTTGAGGGTATCCACTATAAGAGGTGGCGCGTGAGAGCAGTCTTATGGTTTCAAACCATGAGTTGCTATGACGCCACTCTTGGAAGACCTGAAGGAGAACTTGATGCTCAATAGGCACAAGCTTTTCAGAAAATGGATACTCTGTTTAAGGCTGCTCTCTTGAGTGTTCTTGGTGAGAACATAGTTGATGCTTATGCGTCAATTGACAATGGAAAAGATATGTGGGACGCACTCGAGGCCAAGTTTGGGGTCTCGGATGCCGGCATTGAGCTGTACATCATGGAGCAATTCTATGATTATAGGTTGTTGAGAAACCTATACCGGGTATCCTTATGAACTGCGATAATCAAACTGTGATCACGAAAGTGAACAGTTCAAAGGATAACATGAAGTCATCAAGACACGTTCAGAGAAGGTTAAAGTCTGTCAGAAAAATGAAAAACTCCGGAGTTATTGCATTGGATTATATCCAAATGTCTAAAAATCTGGCAGATCCTTTTACTAAGGGTCTATCACGTAATGTGATAGATAATGCATCGAGGGAGATGGGTATGAGACCCACAATATGAGTTGTTCACAGTAGTAACCTATTCTTTGTGATCGGAGATCCCGTGAATTAGATGTGGAAGACAAGCTGTTGGTCAACTGGGAGGAGAGTATTCTTACTGTTCAAAATACCACTCCATGAAGATGCAATACTCCCCTAATCTGCATGGCAGGTTGATGTATATCTTAATGTGTTCTAAGTGGCTCTTTGAAGCAGAGATGTTGTCGTACAGAACATCTTTTGAGGAACGCACCTATATGAGTCTGATTGTTAAATGTCGCAATCTATAAGAGTAGGGTTTTCTCTAGAAAACTCATGAAAGGTCTCGGAGTATGACGCATAAGCTCCACCCATGGGGAAGACCCACGGTAGCCACGTATCGGTCAAGGCTTTATGTGAAGCTAGATTCGCAGAAAACTTGCAGTTCAAGGCCCAGTCCACTGTTCAAGTTGCTTAATAGTGTAGCATAGAGTTCTAGGTGGAAGTTCAACTTAACAGTCTCCACTGTAGTACCGGTATATAAAACAGTGTTTTGGAACCAAAGGCAAATTTTGTGTGCCTCTGGGATCTGGTGGGGGATTGCTGGAATTTTTGTCTATTTGGGCCTAGCCCAATAGCAGTTTCAGAAATTCATAATAAATCCTAGAGGCCCACGCAGCCCATTCGTGCAAGGCAAGAGGTGGAACTAAAGTTTAGCCCCACATTATTAGTTTAGAGGGAGTTGGACCTCTTTATAAGGGAGGCTCCTTCCCCACTTGTATGAGCATGAGAACAAGAGGGACATCCACGCGCGCTCCTCCTCCGCCGCCATGCCACGCCACGCCACGCCACGCCTCGCCTCGTCACGACGCGCCGCGGGTTGCGGGAATGAGCCGAGCCGATGTCTAAATTTTTGCCACGCACTACGAGTATACGAAAGGTCACACGGAAGCTGAAAAGTTTTGCGATAGTGGAGTTTGAATGCGAACGGTGCAACCCTTCGGCTGCTGGCTGTTCGTTTCGTCTTCGTCTCTTCGTTTCACCTTCCGCCGCTGCCCTCTCGCCTCCTTCTCTTGCGCCTATAAAAGGGAGGTCGCTCCTCTCAGAGAGACGCACCAGAACTACATCCTCCTCTCGCCATCGGTTTCTGAGCACTGCGTTGCTGCTTCGATCTTCTCCATCCCGGCTTGCGGCGTGCACCGCAGGTCGGGACAGTAGGCCTCCGAAACCGCACCTCTTTGAGTCCTGTACGGGAGAAGGGTGATAAGGTTTTTGGGGAGCGCTCTGCGCGACTACTGACTCCTTCGTCACGGACGTCCCGGACTCCGACGACTACTTCCCCAACGACGACTACTTCCCCGACGTCGACAACCTCCTCGACGACATGGAGGACACCGACCCCAAGTCCAGTGCCTCTACTCCGGCTGCTGTCTCGTACGTGTTCTTGCTTTTCCTGTTAGAGGTCCTGTCATAGTTGCTTCTTCTAGTGTTTGCCCTACACATGTTAGGATCTACCTCATATATGCATCTTGATCTACTGTCTGCTCTAGAGATGATCGGTTCTACCTCATATATGCAGATATTATTTACCTTCTCTTTGTCAAATCGCATGACTTGTTTTATCACTGCTATAGTAATCATGCTTCATCTAGTATTTCTGTTAATAAAATCATTCGGTAAATTGCTTATATTTCCAACAGCTAGTAGGTAAGCTAAACTCTAAGCAGGAAGCTAGTAGATATAAGCTAAACCCTAAGCAGGAAGCTAGATGTAAGCTAAACCACAGCATCAGCAGCACATCAGATAGATTCACAAGGACGGGACAGTCGCCGGCGGCGAGAGCGCCATAGATGGATGCATGGTAGATAGATGTGGACCGAAGCTGAGGGATGAGCATGGGAACTCACCGGAGCCGAGCACGACGGCGTTGTTGCCGAGCGCCATGGCGGCAAAAAGCCAAGCCCGGCAGCACGGACAAGCACCGGAGCTAGCACGCGGCCCTCGACGGCGACAACGAAATCGGGCGCGCACGTACGGCCGGCGGTGGGCGATTCCGCTCCCTGCTGGTTTATTATTGTTCTCTCGCCGTACGTAGTACGTGTCTGTCTGTATCGTCTGGCGGCGGTTAAATCCAACGAACGAATAAATGGAAGCACAATCTCGTTGTATTTAGTTTCTTTCATTCATTCACACGAGATGACGAGACTCCTTCCTTCCTTTTTCCGGAAACACACTCGAGAGGGCCATCCCCCCGAGATTTTCCCTGACCGTTGGGTTTTACATGGACGGATGCCCTAAACTTCTTTTTTTTTAGCAAACTTATGCCCTTAACAGGGCCAGTTCTTTTGGCCGATTCTCCCAGAATCGCCACCCTTCCCAGCTTCTCCCAGAATCGCCACTCTGTATTCTTTTTTACAATCCTAACTAATTGGACCTTACCTAGATAGGATTGTAGAAAAAATATGAAGTGGCAATTCTGGCAGAAGTTGGGAGGGGGGCAATTCTGGGAGAATCGGCCAAAAAAACTGTCCCTAAAACACGCAGCTCAGTTTTTTTTTGAACACAGCATAGACGCATACGCTCATATATCCGCGCATACACTCATCTCTATGAACATACACACGCAGATAATCATCTTGAGATTGACGAAGTCATCAAAGGCGCCTCGTAGTCAACGGGACGTCTCGCACTGAACGCGCATCACCGAAAATTCTGAAATAAATCTAGGAATAAATCCGCTTAGTTATCGTGAGATGATCATATCAGGTGGGTGGCCATTTGGCAAACCGACTTTTCATTGATTAACCAAATTCTTTCATTGCCGGACCTTCTTGGGGAACAAGGCAAGGACTCCCAACACATGATCAGCCCGGTCCCGTGTGCCGGCACACGCCCCTCATTCCTAGGAAACAAAGAAAGGGCGGATGCACCATGTGGAAGACATGGTTTGCTGCCCAAAAAAGAAAGGAACGGATGCAGTTTATCATTACAATGAATTCATTCATGTTTCGACCGATCAATCATCCATCGAAAAGACCGGACTGATGAAGAGAGAGGGACCGCAACATATTTCAACACAGCGACGACAAACCAGAGGACCCTGCCTCCAAAAGGTACTACTCCATCCGTTGCAAAACTACTAAAGGTCAAACATCGAAAAGCCTGATTTATTTCCCACGAAAAAAAGGCCTGATTTATTTCTGAGGGGGACAGAAACATTACACCTTATATTTTGAAGCGGAGACTGTATTTTGAAGTGGAGGCAGTATCATATATCATAACTTCCAGACACAGCGGCTAACATTCCATTCACACAAACAAAAGCATCATCAACTCCAAACTCCATCCATGCCAGGAATGAAAACGCTCCATCTAACTAAAAGCACCCATTATTATCAATACAAACCAAACCCATTGTCCCGGGCAGGTTGAGAGGCAGCAGCAGCTAGTTTCAAAGTTAAGGGCGCATTTGTTTATGATGATCCCGGGGTGGAGGCGCTTGCGGCGGCTGCGAAGGTTGCCTCCTCCTTCTTCTTCAGGTCCTCAAACTTGTCGATAGTGACCTGCAGCTCGTCGGTGCTGCCCACCGCCCACATGGTGTAGTAGTACACCCCAAAGACGAACCCCGTCAGCCCGCCCGCCACCACCACATTCTTCGTCTTGGACGCCAGGCTGCCGAACCCTGCCATCGGCGACGATGACGACTAGGCTGCTGCTGCTGCTGCTGCTGCAGGACAGAAATGTGGAAAATGTTACTTGAAGTTACCGATCCAAGGTGCGAAACATAAAAGATGTTCCTCTGACAACTTGAGAGACAAAGTGACTGGTTCCATGCCGGTATCAAATTCAAACACAGGACACGGATGTGAAATTATGTTACTCCTACATGTGGGCACCGCTTCAAAATACAGTCTGTACACTTTCAAAATGGGCATTACGGGGACAGTTTGAAGATGTAGAGATTTGTGTTATAAACAATCTGACTCCCCTCTGGTGATTATACAGTCTGGCATTCAGTAGCTTTGCGGCAATTGACAATTTCTGTCACAGCAAGAAGGAAAATAGGGGTTACTGGCGAGTAGCCTCCTCATCAACCAAATACTGTTCGTACATCACAACACGGCCTGCTGAGGAATCCTTCAGCCATACAAAGCACTCTAGCAAGCACCAGAACATCGGGCCTGAGCAATCGTCTCTGTCTCTCTCACAAGGCCTGTCTACCTGGTGCTGGGACTTGCCGGGGAGTGACAATGATGCACTGATCCCAGAAACAGAGACAGAGGGAGATCCATTGGAGCTAAAACCATTGGAAACAAGAAGACGCTGTTCTCTACAGACATGTGTGAGACATCTTGGGTAATTTCTTTAGGAAACAGACGCAACGGTGTAGACCCTGCTTAACTCCATTGTGCCTGAGCTGAGTGCAGAAAAGGGAGCTCCCTTTCAATGCAGCACATGTAGCTTGAAAAAGAAAAAACCTATATACAACGCTCTGCACAAGTGTTTGAAGGACACAGAAGGCAATTTATTTATCTTGGCAGTGCTTACTGGAATTCTGATACAGCGGACGTACTGAAACTAAGTTGTACTAGTACCATCCAGAGGTTTTCACAAGATTTGGTGTGTACATATGGTCATAATAGTACTACATGGAGTTCTTCCATGGCTGGCTGCTAGTCTGTGCTCTGTGCAGCAGAAGAAGAGCAGGTTCCTGGACTGAATCTCATGGTCTCATATTATTCACATCTGCCAAAATGAAACCTGGTAGGTACGCGATTTCCGGCGGTGGGTTCAGCTCAATTTACTTTATCCCCCTTCCCTTGCTATGGAGTGCAGGCTGCTACATGGCGCGACACGGGGTGAGGATCTTCAGCTAACTATCTATATTGCACCGGTTGCAGGCTGGATCATAAGACCAGGAATAAACCATGTGGTATCGACTGAAATCTTCCCTCCCCCTTGGAATATCTCCAAGCGGCCGACCGTGTAGTCCGGCGACGGCAGACGGGCGGAGGGCTTTTCTGTTTGGTAACACAAGAGCCGGCGTACGCCGTACACGGGATCGGGACTGCGGGTGCGGGTGCGGGTGCGGAGGAATCCACTCCACGGGCAAGCGGCCAGATTATATTCTTGAGCTCCTAGGACACCATATCGTCCTACTGATGGAAGAAGTGGTGAATCGAGGCGGGTAGGAGAGGGCGTACCTGACCGTCGGACGGACAAATCGGAGCGTCAAGGCGGCGGCGCGGGGGAGATGCGGCGGCGGCGCGGGGGAGATGCGGCGGCGGCGGCGACGGCTGACGGCAACGGCGATGGCGGCAGGAGGAGGAGGAGAGGAATGGAGGAGCAGGGAAGGGGAAAGTCGGTCGGTCTTGGTAGGTGCGCTGGGCTGGGCTGGGCTGGGCCTCGAGTCCTGTGGTGGGCTCCGGCGGCACCCCGCCGACTTCTTCTTCCTCTTGGTTCGGCCCACTGCTAAAACAAAAGGAAAATTTCCTTCAAATCATCACTTTGAGGGTGCCTTCTATCTCTCTCTCTCTCTAACACACACACACAAAAGAGTGAAATGAATTAATTGTTTCGACCGTAAACTCAAACTGATTGTTTAGTCCGTAAACATTAACTCAAACTAATTGCACACTTTAGGCCACGAATTTGGAAATTGATTGATTTAGACCGTAAACTCGCTGATTTGATCGAATAAGGGCAAAACCGACCCGGGAGAGGAAAGATCGGCCACGTCAGCGTTGCCTGAACCGCTCGTGAGTTAGTTGTTTTTATAGGGATCTATGTGCAAACCGATGGACGATTCTGGCAGACTCCTGCTCAGCTCGCCGAGAGTTTCCATATTGGTTTGGATTACCCCGATATCCATCAACCACAAGCCTCCTCAAAGATATATGTCTTGTGCATGCAGCAGGCACATGGCGTCGTCTAGAAGGAACGCTACGCTCGAGAGAAGGTGGTGTGTCGTTCCACACCACGCGTTGAGGCCGCCGCTGAACAAGAAGGGGACAGCAGGACAGCCGATGGCGCGCCACCGCCGCTGAACGCTACGCTCGTGGGCTATAAACTGAAGATGGGCCGCGCCAACTCTGCTCCAAACTCCACTACTCCTCTCCCTTCCGTCCTGGTACGCTTCCTCTCCTGCTTCTAGCTAGCTCTGCTCCCTTTCCTAATTAATAAAACTGTTCTTCTCGACTTGCCTAATATAGATATAGAAGTTTCAACTCGGTTGCACTTCACCTGGTAGCTGTGCGCTGTTGGTGCTGCTTCCTCACAGCACCTCTTCTTCTTCCTCTCTTCTCCTCTCCCTTTCGTCCTGGTACGCTTCCTCTCCTGCTTCTAGCTAGCTCTGCTCCCTTTCCTAAGTAATAAAACTGTTCTTCTCGACTTGCCTAATATATAAAAGTTTCAGTTCGTAGCACCTCTTCTTCCTCTCACAATTCTGTGGAGATTTCTCTCGTGGACAAACACCATGAAGAAACTCAAAGAAAACACACACACACACACACACACACACACACACACACACACACACATGCATGCATTGATGCATATGCCAGGAAGAAAGCCAACTAGCTTTGCCAAGAGGCTCACCTCCTTGGTCACAGGGGCGGAGCCATGAGATTTTGGACCGGACCATATACCTATGAATATTAAGATGGGCCAGAGAAAAAGAAGAAACCCAACAACTTGTATTCATTCGCTGGTCATGGGAGTGCATGTAGGCAGTGGTGTGTTAAAACATGTTGTTGGGTTTCTTCTTTTCATCACCACTCTCAGATTAATGAATACAAGTTTATGCTGCATATATATACTCACTTTTGGTCTTACATGACTTTGCTATTCGCCGGCGAGTTTTTGTGTGCGTGTCTTGGTGTTGGCTGCGTGCATCTTAGCTATGCAGAGGCCGGGTGTGTGCTCATTGTGTTTGTATCCTCTTGATGCTTCATCTTGAGTCAATAAAAATTCACCCTTTATCGAAAAAAATATATACTCACTTTTGTTGCTGCATTTTCGTTGGTAATGAACACAAGATATTTTGTAGTATGTTTTCAGCCAAATATAAGGGATGTTACCATTCGTTAGGTTTTCTTCAAAAACAGTTAATCCACACCACACGTACGACAACAAATGAAGTAGGCTACTGTAGTTATTACTACTCCCTCTGTATCAAAATGTTTTTTGGTTTTCCATAGAGCACAAAAAACGTCTTCTGTTTTGTTACGAAGGGAGGAGTATTTATCAGGTGTTGTTAGCTAGTTTGCTGCCATATATGTTGGTTTGCTTCTTTTTTTGCATAGTCCTCCTAGCTAGCTACCTATTAGTTTCTTCTGATAGATCGATTCATGCTCGGCTTTTGCAGCTGCTGGTTACAAGAAGATGAAAATGGTTGTGTCCGTTGTGCTGCTCACCAGCTGGCTCTTATCAGTGGGCCTACCCTCCCAAGCCCTAAATGTGAAATCAAAGACCTTCCGTTCCCCTCCCATCTTATTGGCCCTTGGATCAGTCTCAAACAAGTACTACTATGATGTTGCCTTCCCCGAGGCCACCTTGCCGTCAAGAGCTTTGACGCCGAGGTAGTCGACGAGAACGGCATCCCCGTTCCACTCCACGAGACGTACCTGCATCACTGGGTTGCAGTACCATACTATGCTTTGAAGAAGGGCCATGGCGCGCGGAAGGGGATACTCACAAGGAGGAACGATGGAGTCTGCAAGACCAGTCTAGGGCAGTACTTCGGGCATGGTTCTGAGACTCGCCACACCTCCACATGGGTCCCTGATCGTTATGGCATAGAGACCGGCAATCCGGAGAAGGCCCCTCCAGGCTACGAGGAGAAATGGTCCCTCAATATTCACGCCATCGACACAAGGGGAGTTATCGACAAGCCTGGGTGCACCGAGTGCAAGTGCGACCTTTACAACGTTACGGTTGGCGAGGACGGGCGAGCAATCTCGAAGAACTACACTGGAGGAATGCTCTGCTGCTATGATCAGACGCGGTGTCGGGTCAAACAAGGGTTCATTGGGAACGCGCGGAAGCTGTTCTTTCAGTACACGGTGACGTGGCTCGACTGGACCGATGCCATGGTGCCGGTCAGTATCTACGTAATTGATGTCATTGATACCGCTCTGCTCGCTGGAACTGCCCAGGGTTCTTGCAAGGTATATATGCGAAATATATAGAACTTCACATGACGGCAACTCTATAAGAATTTGGTAACTCTCGCATTATTATTATTATTATTATTATTATTATTATTATTATTATTATTATTATTATTATTATTTCAAACTAATCACAATCTGAAATTAAGCTAAGTGTTTACTAGGTTGGTTGGTCTATCTATCTATGATTTAGGGTTTAGGGTTTTAAGCTGTACGTTGATTGTGCAGGTGGAGTATCATGCAGTCCAGAAAACCGAGCCCACAATGAGTGTATCCATGTCAAGGCTGCTAGAGTGATCTTACCTCGTGGAGGCGACATCGTGCTCGGCGTCGATCGGGCACCAGCACTCGAGCGGAACTGGTGCTTCTTTGCATGGCCAGGTAATGGATCGGATCAGTGCCCTAATCGCTTATCTGTTGTGCTTATGCACTGCTCTGCTCAGTGCTACTACTGTATAATATTCTGAGTGATGTACACACACATATTCGACTTACCACAGGACGGACACGCCTTCTCT